TGACAATTCGGTTGGTCTTTTCTACTCCCCCTCCATATTCACCTGACATTGCACCAACCGATTATTAACTTTTACGATAGCGAAAAACTCTTTCATTTTTTTTTTAAAAAGGTTATCTAATAAAAACAAAATTCATTATTTCTGTGGGGTTGTTTTCACAACAAAACTTGTGGAATTTAATTCAAAAGGTCTTTCGTTAGTGGCGAGAAGTGATTGCAGTGTTTGCAAATAATAGGGAATATATAAACGAATAAAATTTAATTCTACGTTATTACAGCCAGAAAGAACGAATCACAGCTGAGCACCCACTGCCTAATGAGCCACGACTAGATTCTAATAGACCTGTGACCAGAAGTTGTTGTGTAATATCAAGAAACCAGCACATTCAAGAAACACATAAATATGCGTCCAGAATAATGTCAAACATGAGAGCAGTCTACCTCTGTGATTGTTGACATAAATTAAATCCCATAAAATTAATTAGTCATACTTAATTATTCAAGAGGTGAGGTGTGATATATGCAGTAAATACAAATCTCAATAACTCCTTTAACCCAATCCCTTATTAACCAATCAGAATCCCAGTAAAAATTCACCGCCGATCAGTCGACTGGCTATTCGCCCGAATGTTAATTTTGTTCGAATCTTAGACGTGTACGATGTCATATCACAAGAGATTCTATGATGCGCACTTCCCTTAATGTCGTAAGCACGAACTTCTTTTGCGTCATGGCTAATCCAGCCTTGCATATATATGTTATCATTGCATTTTATCACAACGCTTAGATCATTGCATTTAACTACCTGTTTTAAGCTTGCAGCAACAACCAGTGTACAAGCAAGGAATCTTCAATAAGATTTGAACTCAGATCATATATATTTGATTACCTCCTTACATGGACGCTGTCTTTTTCAATTTAATCACACCTGACGAAACAGGCTCCGATCTACAAAGTGGTTCGAAAGTCTTGTTACCCCATACCAAAAACTAATGAGAACAATAAAAGAACCAGTAATACAAAACACATGAACTAGATTCATTTTATTCATTATCATGGACGGTGTCACATATCGAGAAGATCTGTATGAACATCCATCATTTTCATGGCATAAAATGATACGGCGCCATGTCCTGTGTGATATTTTACGAAGCTGTGCATTGTTGATTGTTGCAAAGGCTCTCCGAACGGCGTCCTTCAACTGATGGGTAATCTGATTCTGTCAATATTTCTGAGATGAGGTATTATGTATATTATTTACATTATTCGGACTATTGTCCTCATCTTTGTCGCCATATTTATCACAACGTTTCGGCCGTTGTACGCTCCGGTCTTCTTCAGGTGGTTGGAATTTCGAACTGAACCCTTTATTTCGCTCACTGGGGTAGACTAGTTCCACGTGCCATGTTTGATGGATGTCAGTTATCAGTTATCTCCTGTTAATTCACCTCTCCAAGTTTTCCACTGCCTTAACCGGGTATTGAACTCACACTCTGGGTCCTGTCACTGGATCTAACCAACGCCTTTATCCTCTGTGCCATGTGTCCTTGAGGAAACGTTGTGATAAATATGGCGACAAAGATGAGGACAATAGTCCGAATAATGTAAATAATGTAGGGTAATCTGATATCGTTCATATGAAACGCTCTCCTTGATAATACCCGACAGAGCGTTGTTACATTAGATACGGGTGTCAAGACTTTCTGAACACTCTATATATATATCGATATTGATATATTGATTGTACACACTATGACTTTTTTGTGTTTTTTTTGTGTGTGTTTTTTTTTCATATAGTACTAGTAATATTGGATTAACAAGGTGGATAAAAACCTCGGCAAAACTGAACAGTGAAAATCATTGTTTGAATTTCAGACGATTTCTAATCTAACATTTCCTTGCTTCTGTCAATAATGGTTATTATTATTGATTTTAATCATTTCGCCTCAAGCAAGGAGATAATGCCTCTAAGATGCAAGCGGGTTACTGAGTAAGAAAGAAACTGAGAAAAATATTTTTAAGAAGACAATAAAAGAACAGGTTTTTAAAAAAAGTTGGCGATTTTTAAGACGACATTTAAATTTTTGAAGATCAAATTTCATTGGAAATCAAGAGAACATTCCACAAGCGAGGAGCACAAGAGGAGAAAGTGTTAGCATAGAACTTACGGTTACATCTAACTATTTCACCTGCAAAATGGTGAGACCGAGCTGACAACCTAGTACAGAGTTTAAATTCTAAAATCGAGATACCGAAGAGGAAAACTCACCAGAAGAATTACCATGAAAGTATTTATAGAAGAGACACAGAGAATCTACCTTACGGTGGCGGGAAAATAACTAAATCCTCGATGTCTAGCCAGAACTGATAACTTTGCAGATACTTCTTTGGATCTGTCTATATTTCTGAGATGAGGTATTATGTACACTATTTACATTATTCGGACTATTGTCCTCGTCTTTGTTGCCATATTTATCACAACGTTTCGGCCGTTGTATACTTCGGCCTTCTTTAGGTGATTGGAATGTCGAACTGAACCATTTATTTCACTCACTGGGGTAGACTGTTCTAGTTCTACGTGCCATGTCTAATGGATGTCAGTTATCAGTTATCTTCTGTTAATTCCCCTCTCCAAGTTCTCCACTGCCTTAACCGGGTATTGAAGTAGGGACACATAAGGACACATGGCACAGTGGATAAAGGTGTTGATTAGATCCAGTGACAGGACCCAAAGAGTTGTGAGTTCAATACCTGGTTAAGGCAGTGCAGAACTTGGATAGGGGAATTAATAGTAGATAACTGATAACTGACATCCATTAGACATGGCATGTGTAACTAGAAGAGTCCACCACAACGAACGAAATAAAGGGTTCAGTTCGACACTCCAACCACCTGAAGAAGGCCGGAGCGTACAACGGCTGAAACGTTGTGATAAATATAGCAACAAAGATGAGAACAATAGTCCGAATAATATAAATAGTGTACTTCTCTGGATTTTTTCAAGAATCTTAAAATACATATCAGAAGCACCTGATGTGAAAGTAATAACCAATGCAAGGGACGAATGGTAGATAGATAAATGTGTAAGCTGGATTCTTGCAATAGAATATGGTCTAGCCCGATATAATGCACCAAATTATTTTCTACTTTACAGTTCCAAGCTATATTCATAAGAATTTCGATGATAAGTCCCGTTATTTGGCGCATTAGGCAAATTGTTTAAGCTCTTAACTAGTTATATTCCATTCTAGATATATTTTGGCAAGAAAAATATCTAGCACGACACAGTAAGCCAGTTTTCCTTGCAGTAGATATAACAATTGATTCAATATAATCATTCTACTTCCTGTCAGCGGAACAAAAAGTTAGACCGAGAAGACCGTACCGTCGCTTCCATCTGTCTTTTCTATAAATACTTTCACGGTAAATGTTCCGACGAGCTACGTTCGTGAGTTCCCAAACTGCATGAATTTAAACGTGCTACTAGATTAGCATCTCAGTCCCCCACTGTCGAAACGGTTACATGTAGTCGTTTCTTCTACTACAATAGCTTTATGTCACGCACTTCCCGTCTGAGGAGCTCCTTTCCTCTTACTTGCTTCCCTGAGAGCTATAATCTCCAACTATTCAAATTCAATGTCAATCGACATCTCCAAATGCCTTGATCTATTCCCCGTCCTTCTCTTCATCCTTTCCTCTTTCACGCTTCTTTGCTCTTGCTTCCACTCTCTGTTGTAGTTTTTTTTTTGTGTATATATCTACTAGTGAGCAACCCAAACGACTAGACTCACTTTATAGTCCACCAATAGAAGGTTAACCAATCAGAAGACGTAGAACATTCAATCCGTCGTGTATAAAGGCGGCCATTTTGTTTACTCTATCCGAATGTCCAGTACCAGCTTGTCAGGCGAAGAGGAACAGAAGGAAGAACTACGCTCTGCTACTTTTAACAAAATATCCACTGCTAACTGTCTTCGAAATATTCACTGCTAACCTCTGGATTCTATACCCAAAGACGACCGTCATCATGAAAAACACTCTCCGTAAACCCCTGCGTGCTAGTGGCACACTCGCTTTGCTTGGGGTGAAAAGCTTAAAAAAATATGAGTTATACCTTGGTTAGCGGTTGCGAGACGTCGCTATATTTGTCATTAAAATAAATGCTAAATCGGGCACGGGACGCTATTTTTATATGTGTTTCTGTAGGATATGCAGGATTGGGAATCATAGTATTGTACATGTTAGCAGTCGTATTATGTCAATAAAGACACTGTGTCAGAAATAGTTTAAAATAGAGTAGTACTAAACCTCCGTCAGTCGATGTGGACTATGGATGACGCGCCCTGATGTCTAAGTTCCGTCAATGGTCTACACAGCGTTGGCTGTGGCTAGTCAGCTTAAAGAAGGCGCTTTCCGCCTTGCTCTCCTTTTCTCAGCTAACGTTTGAATCTTCTCTTCCCTTAACCTGAGTCGGTTGCACCGTCTGTTGTGGTCAGCTGCGGCATCTTCCCACTTCTCTGTGTTAATATTTAGAGTTTTTATATCGCGCTTGCAGATATCTTTGTAGCGCAGATGGGGGCGACCAACAAATATCTTGTCAGAAGCTAGATCGCTGTACAGGATATCCATTGAAAGACAGCCATCTTCCATCCATGTACATTGGGGAGATGCAAGCATGTTCGAGGGCCTGAGCGTTGGATATCGCTTTTTAAAATTTGCAAGATTAAAAACAATTAGTGCTGCATATTACATCTGGAAATTATTTCTAGAAGGTGATGAAATATTACGAGATGTCAGTGCGTATCGTTACATTGTACTGAGTATGGATATGTATGCAATCTCAGTGTCATAGTACATTTCTACCACTGACCATGATGCAGAAATTTATCGTTATTTAAGAAAGCTCACATTACTCAATTTATTACGAAAAATATTTGAAAAAAGAGCACAACAATGAAACAGTATTAAATGACGTAGAGCTAAGCGGGGTAGCAATAAAACTCAGATAGATAGATAGATAGATAGATAGATAGATAGATAGATAGATAGATAGATAGATAGAAACGGCGTATACACAAAGAAAAAACGAGGAAGAAGGAAAAGACTGAAATTAAGACATAGATAGATAGATAGATAGATAGATAGATAGATAGATAGATAGATAGATAGATAGATAGATATTAATACAATGTGATCGATATGAATAGAATGAGGTAGATATGAACATAATGAGATAGATAGATAGATACATAGGTATATAGATAGATAGATAGATACATACATACATACATACATAGATAGATAGATAGATAGATAGATAGATATTAATAGAATGTGATAGATATGAATAGAATAAGGTAGATATGAACAGAGGTTTTTATGAAGAGAATGAGATAGATAGATAGATAGATAGATAGATAGATACATACATACATAGATACATACATACATACATAGATGTGTATAAAGAGTTAAAAAGAGTCTTAGATAGATAGATAGATAGATAGATAGATAGATAGATAGATAGATAGATAGATTATAGGCAGATTTCTATCAGATTTATACGTTTCTCGTCATAATATTTCCGAAATAAACTTTCCCTACAAACAGATATTTATTAAGCCTGTTTTCCTCTAAAACACGACTGTACTATCTGGTCACTATGTGTTAATGAAATTTACTAACCGAATTACGAAACTAACTTGCTAACATGGCTCTCCGACAAGTATTTAACTTCACACAGCATACGTGACAAATTTCAATTCTCGAATACCAATCTTGAAATCTCAAAGCAAATTTGTCTCTTCGGCATTTGACACCTGTTTCGTTGTCCGTTTCTTCAGTAAATAACGTTGCTGAATATTTTTCGAACTTTTTTTGTTTTTGATTAGGCGAAATATTTTCATATGAAATAAAAAGAAAACATTCTTTTCAATCAGTCTAGGTTTTCTTGCAGTTGCTCTGATTCTTGCTAATCATTTTTTTTTTTTTCTTTCAGCTTTTCGTGTCTGAATTATTATTTGAAAGTTTTTTTTTTCTTTTAAAACATGGCGAACTCATCCGCGTGTGTCATTGAATTTCAATTTCAACTCAATTGCTAACAGAATTCACTGGCATATCGATAAATTGTTGGTGTTTTCTCAAAAGAAAAAAAAACAATCTTCACTGATGAAAAGACGAAACCCTTGGACGACATGTTTCTGAAATAGTTCCACATTTTAACGTCTGTCGGTTTCTTTTTTCTTTAAATATATAAAGTACAGCTGCATAAGTTATATACCAACGAATAAATTAAAATTAATCTCGAAGACTACGTTGTCTCCAGCAAAATTTCAGAATTAAAATGATCAATATAACACAGCATTTGTTCACTGAATAATTTTTGGAATGGTAAACATACCTTAGTTATTGCCGTGTTGGATATTTTAGAAAAAAATAAATATACGTCAGTTGTTACTTGTGATTTAATAATAACATTCAGATAATCATTTTTTGATATAATATTTAATTTTCTTATAATCATATAATTTCGGCCGATTCATTCTTCAGCCTTCTTCAGTTTAATATCTGTCTGATACAGAGTCTGAAGTTAGTCCCAAGCCGGTGTTGCCTCATGAGATACGAAATTCTTCAACTTGAAATACAGTTGAAGAAAAAAAGAGAATAAGTTGTTGAACCGGGAAGAGAAAAAAGAAGAAGAAAAGTCGCTAAGGTAAGGATAGTTAAAGACAAAAATTTTGGATATGCTTCAGTTATTTAACCATTAGTTAGGGTGTTTTTTTTAATCATTTTACTACACGTAAGGCAATAAAGCCACTAAGACGCAAGTGGATACAGAGTGAGAATGAATATGAGAAAAAGTAAAACATTAAGGAGCGAGAACAATAAAAGACCACGAATTAAGAAAACAGAATATAAAGATTGACATTGCATTTAAACTTTTGAACATCAAGTTGACCGGAAATTCAGAAGCTCGAAATAGTTCTACAAGCGAGGAGTGCGAAAAGAGAAACTATTAGCAGAGAACTTACGGTTAAACCTATCGATTTAATCTGCAAAATAATGAGACCTAGTTGCCAATCTAGTACCGCGCTTAAATTAATAAATCGAGGAAACAAAGAGGAAAGCTTATCAAAACAATTACCATGAAAATATTAATAGAAAAAGGTGATAGTCAAACGTCCAGATGCCAAGTCAGGGCTGATAACATTGCAGATTCTTCTTTGTATTTTATCAAGAATATTTAAATACATAGAAGCACCAGAGCAGATGTGGCAGCAATATTTAATGCATGGACAAATGGTCGCCTTATAAATGTCGAACATAGATTATGGCGAATAAAATGTCTAGAACTATACTGTGAACCAGCCTTCCTAGCAAGAGACGCCAGAATTGGTTCAATATAATCTTTCCATTTCATGTCAGCGGAATATTTTAGTCTAAGAAGGAGCAATTATTCACTCTCCTTGAGGCTAGCATATGCCATGCTAATGGGAGGGAAAAAAAGATTCTCTAAAAAAAAGCAGTTTCATTTCGAAGGCGTTAAAATTAACAAGCCATTTTAAGACTTACTATTGGTTGATTTTGTCTAACGGCATATCAACTCTTTATGGGTCATTTGATTCCGAAATGTAATTGTCTTGTCAGCTTTGAAGTAATAAAAATATGATATATATTATTCTGCTTTCAAAATTGAATACATGGTAGATAGTTACATTTTGTGTATATTCATGTTTGAATGAACATCACTACTAAGAGGCAATGCTACTTTTTTATGTTGTAGTTTTGTTGAAGTTATACTTTGGAAATACAGTTTGATTTCTTTAAGAAATTGTAGGATATTATATGGATTAATGTCATGAAAGAGTTCATTCTTCTCACTGGGTTAGACTGTTCTAGTTTCACGTGCCATGTTGAATGGATGTCAATTATCAGTTATCTCCTGTTAATTCCCTCTCCAAGTTCTCCACTGCCTCACACCATTGGGCAGTGAAGAACTTGGAGAGGGAATTAACAGGAAATAACTGATAACTGACATCCATTAGATATGGCACGTGGAACTAGAACAGTCTACTCTAGCGAGCGAAATAAAGAGTTCAGTTCGATATTCCAACCACCTGAAGAAGGCTGGAGTTTACAACGGCCGAAACGTTGTAATAAATATGGCGACAAAGATGAGGACAATAGTCCGAATAATGTAAATAATTTGAAATGAATCTCCACATTCTAGCGAGGATGTTATTTATATAAACAAATATAAGACGGTCTAGTATAAAATGAATGGATCGACCACGAACAACTTAAAAAGATATACTTGATTTGCTGATTTACACTGAGAAATAATATGGGCCGAGAACTTTTCATCATTCTCTCCAATATTGTACATGAACATGTTTTCCTGCAACAGCAGTCTAACATTCGAGATTGAATCTTGCAAATTATGGCCCACTTAGTTTGGCGTGTTTCACGAGATATCAGCATTTTAGGTCATTTAATGCCGCAAAATATTTTTATTATAGCTAAACGTTTCTCGTGTTTATACTTGCGTCTACAAGTACCGATCTATTTCTATTTGAGTTTATAGGCAATTATCTGCTGCGTTTATGCTTGAATCGATAGGTTAACATTATTCGTAAGTATAGTGAGTCTACAGGAAAGCATTGGCCGTGTATATACTTGAGTTCTCAAATAAAGTTTGGTAGCATTTATACTTGGGCCTATGAATAAACAATGTTCGTATTTATACGTGAGTCTATGAGCAAAACTTGTTATTATACTTGAGTCTCCAGGTAAAAATGGCCATGTTTTTGCACGATTCAGTATGCAAAAATTGGTTATTTATATTTGTGTTTATGGTAAATATTAATCGTGTTTATATTTTTATTTTGGGTTATGATAAACGATTATATAGGGTTATAATAAAAAATGTATGTGTTTATACTTTTGTTTAAGGTAAAAGAAATGCGTATTTATGGTAAAAATTAGTCGTGTTTACACTTGTGGTTATAGTAAAAAATTGTACGTGTTTATGGTAAAAAAAAATTCTCGTGTTTATACTTGTGGTTATAATAAAAATTGTATGTGTTTAGATAAGAATTCGTCATGTTTATATAGGTACCTCCATGAAAATCAATAAAAAGAGCATAGCATGACAAGAACGGCCTTAATCCTTAAGTATATATATCATTATTAAGAAGAAATACCAAAGTATTTTTTGATTATTTTTTTTAAATTTTTACACATTCTTAGCATGTCCGAACTTTTAGTTAAAGATCTTGTTTTTTTTGTTTTTTTCATCAGCAAAATTACTAAAAAAAACTCGATATCAGCCATTTTTTTAATTTTTGTAAACTAAGTAACTAAGTTAAAATCCTATAATTGACTTTTGGAAAAATTTTAAAAAATTTTTCCAAAAATCAATTATACGTTTTTCAAAATTTATTTGACGAAAATTAGCAAATATAAAGATTATTTAATAAATTTTGAAAAAAAACTTTTGCTTACTTTCTTCGAAGAAAAATGTTGTTTAAAATAAAAAGGAGGCGATCTTAACATCGTTGGCTATTGACAAGTGATAAATGATTGCTGTCATCACATATCGACAGCTAACGTGAGATTCGAGTTATCATACCGAAGGACATAATTGACGTACCTTTTTTTTTACATGAACCAGCTTATGTAGTACCTAGTAATTATTAAAGTAAAAAAAAACCTTTCAGCATTCCAATTTCTTTTATTTTGTTTTTGTTTTTTTATTACTGTAGCTTACACCATAAGTTTGTTGATACTATCTGTAGAAATTATAAATACTATAAATAAATTAAAATACAAGTGCTGCACAGCTTTTTGAGGGCAACTATAGCCCCCTAAAGTCAATACAGATCTGATATGATAAAACATTTCTATCCCAAGTAAAAATCATCACAAACATATCAAAAGTTATTTTGTTACACTACAACCAATTTGAACTGAAACAAAAAAAAATGAAAAATGACTTTTGTCATCATCTGAACAAAATATCAAGGAAACTTTTGATCTGCACCCCATGAAACTAGGTATTTCCTGAAAGCAAAGAATGCTCTTTCATTTCTAAGGGAAATTGGTTGGTGTAATGATTTTTAAAAAGTTTTCTGGGGATAAAATATGAAAAAATAGTTAAAATTGCTATTCCTGAACACTGGAAACCAGGATTTTTTTATATGTTTTTTTTTTTAATTTTTTAAATTCAGCGATAAGGAAAACAGTGTTGAAATTAAGCCAAAATTGACTTTGACATTGCAGGTCAAAGGCCAGCCAGCCGATAATACCAAGCTGTCATCACCTTGTAAAAAATTTCATTTTTTTTTTTATATCTATGTTTGAACAATAGCTTGATGTATTTTTGTTTTTTAACATCTTTTGAGCATGGGGATGACAACAACACTTAAGGATAGAAATGAAAACAGTTTTTTTGAAATAAGAAATTCACATAAAATTGAAATAAAGACAACTCACTGAAAACTGAAAAGTGAAAACTGTAAAACAACTTAAAAAAATTGAAATTGAAATGAAATATGTAAATGAAATAAATGGTACTTTTAAAAATGTAGTAATGTTGATGATGAAATGGCTTAAGATGATGTTCAAATTTTTTAATGAGTAAAAACGCTAATTCAAAATGCTCAGCATGTGTTTCGCACGAAGAATTTGCAATAATGTAATCGACGTTCAGCGGAGAACGCTTACACTCAAGCCACGTGACCTTTTACTGCTTGTGACCTTCCGTACTTTATAATTACAACCATTTTAACGATTTTTATGAACACAAAATTACAATTCTTAATTACTGCGGATCTTCTGATTGGTCAATTTACAAAGCGCTAAAAAAATGATCTATCTCATGAGGACACTTAGGAAACCCGATGCGGATTTTAACTAATTTTATAATATTTTAATAACTTAAATGTAAAAATCTATTATAATTAAAGAAATAACAAATAATTGTATTAAAAATTCAATTTTGATTGAAAAATTTTTTTGCTTTCAGAAAATATTCATAAAAGCAACTAAAAACAAATAAAAGCATTTGAAATTAAATAATATATTTGTTTTATTGTTTTGTATGTTACAATTCAGAGCTGATTTTCAGGTACGTAGGGTCCAATTAAAAAAAAACATGATTTGCATTCTTCAAAGCCTTGTGCTTTTAACTATTGTAATCACTAAATCCGATGCGATCGAATTTCTAGCGTTTTCGTAAAGTTATTTAGTGGGGGGGGAGGTAATAAATATAAAAAAAAATATTTCTTCCATGACTTTAATAAAAAAAACATATTTATAATAATTTCGATCATCTGTGAATAGTTTCTAAAAGTTTCATTAACATCCGACAATTATTTTTATTTTTGTAAGATTTTCCAAATTAATGTGTGTCATACAAAAAAAAACGTGCTAAAAATTGTATATGTTATTTACTAGTTCCGGTTGGTACAAAGAGAAACAAGGTTTTTTTTAATCAAAATTTAGAATGTTCTAAAAAGAAGGAAAATTTTTTAAAAATAATTAAAAAAAACTTTGGTCTTTCCTCTTCATAAAAACATAAGCATTTAGACGATAAAATTTTGTTTTCGTAAAGTTTGGCGTCTTTTTCATCAGACCATGCTCTTTTTTAGCGATTTCGTAGAGGTACCTATTTGTGGTCATAATAAAAATTGTACGTGTTTAGGTA